CCCTTACAGAACAGGTACAAGGCCCTGGGTATGATAGATGAAACGCATAATGAGGTAGAAGAGGAACCTGCACAAGCAGTCTTGTCAAGGTCAGAGAGACCAACCCCTCACAACAAAACCTGCATTAAAACCAGTGCCAAGAAGAAACAATGGCGAGTTATGGGCATTGGTGATTCCTCCTGTGCTGAACAGAAACACCCGTATGCAGACTGGACCCTCTTTTCAGGAAAGTTTGCTGCCTCCCTGGGCCCAAATTAGGGACATCACCACAAAACTGAAGAGCCTAGTACAACCTTCAGACTGCTATCCATTCCTGCTCTTTCACACAGGTCCAAATGATGTCACAACAAAAAGGCTGAGATCAATCAAAAGAGTTTTCAGAGCCCTGGTAAGAATGCTAAAAAACTCAGGAGCACGGTAATGTTTTCCTCAGTCCTCCCAGTAATGGGGGGAGACTCTGGAAGAAACAGGCGAGCTCAGGATATCAATACCTGACTCCAGGACTGGTGCCTCCACCAAAACTTTGGGTTTTAAACCATGGAAAAAGCCTTTGAGAAGCAACGTATTCTGGGGCCTGACGGAATCTACCTGTCCCAATAGGGAAACGTGTCTTTGGGTGTAAGCTGGCAGGCCTGATTGAGAGACCTTTAAACTAGAATTGATGGAGGGAAGGGAATAACAGGTTTGCAGGAGATAAGTAAAGGGTTGGCATGCAATTGCCTGAGGGTGGCAGTGCTACTGGGAACATTTACACTGCTCCTGAGAGCACGGAGGGCTCAGGAGCATATCTGAAATGCTTGTACACCAACGCACACAGTATGAGAAACAAACAGCATGAACTGGAAGTGTTGCTCAGCTCCCAGAGCTACAGTACCACTGGTATTAGTAGGACCTGGTGGAATAAGTCCCATGATTAGAGTGATGGGATGAAGGGCTACAGGCTGTTCAGGAGGGATAGGCAGGGCAGGAGAGGCAGAGGTGTCGCACTATACGTAAGGTAAATGTTTGATTGCACAGCCCTTACAGTTAGTGATGAAGTGGTTGAAAGCCTCTGCATGATGATTAGGGGGATGGAAAACAAAGGAGATGTTGCAGTGGGTGTCTCGTACTGATCACTGATAAGTTATTCTGTAGGGAATTAGCAGAAATTTCATGAACGGTAGCCCTTGTCCTTATGGGAGATGTCAACTTCCCAGACATCAACTGGGAACATCATACTGCTGTGACAAGTAGGTCTTGGAAATTCTTTAAGTTTGTAGGGGATAAATTTTTGTCACAGGTGCTCAGCAATCTAACTAGGGAAGATGCCATCCTAGACTTACTGTTTGTGAATAGAGAAGGACTTGCAGGGGATGTGATGGTAGGTGGCTGTCTTGGCCACTGTGATCGTGACATGGTTGAGTTTAACATTTTTAGTGTAATGGGAAAAAAAGGACAGCAGAGTTGCTGCCTTGGACTTGAGGAGAGCAAACTTTGAACTATTCATGGAGCTATTTACCAGAGTACCCTTGGAATTTGCATTTAAGGGCTTAGGAGTCCATGAATGCTGGTCAGTCTTTAAGAACATCCTTTTGGAAGTACAGGAGCCGTCAATTCCACTGTGTCGTAAGTTAAGCAGGGCAGAAGACCAGTGTGGCTGAACAGGGAACTCCTCATGGAGCTCAAGAGGAAAATGAAATTGTATGATCTCTGAAAGCGAGGTCAGGGTTCAGAGGAAGAATACAGAGCTGTGGCTTGCATATGCAGGGAGAACACATGAAAGGCCAAAGCTCAATTAGAGTTGAAACCGGCCAATATTGTTTCAGGTAACAAGAAGGGCTTTTTTAAGTATGTTAATAGCAAGAGGAGGTCTAAAGAAAACATTGGACCAATAGTTGTTGAAGATGGTCATCTGACTAATAGGGATGAAGAAAAAGCAGAGGCATTCAATGCTTTCTTGCCTCAGTCTAATAATACTGATAGACCTTGGGCTGCCCAGTCCCCTAAGTCAGAGAACAGTTGACTTTCCATTTGTGGACACTGAAATTGTAAGCAACCAGCTGTATCAGCTGAATGCTCACAAGTCCACAGGGCCTGATGGGATTCATCCGGGAGTTCTGAAGGAGCTAGTGGATGTTATGGCAAGACCCCTCTTGATCATCTACCAAAGGTCTTGGGAGTCTGGGGAGGTCCCTACTGACTGGAATGTCATTGCAATGTTATTGCAATCTACAAACAGGGCATGTGGGAAGACCCATGGAACTACAGCCCTGTTAGTCTGACCACAGTTCCTGTGAAAGTTGTAGAGAAGATTCTACTGAGTACTATTGAATGGCATTTAAAGAATAGTGCAATCACCAGGCACAGTCAACATGCGTTCACAAAGGGAAAGTCCTGTTTAACTAATTTGATATCCTTCTATGATTAGGTCACCCACCTAGTAGGTAAAGGGAAGGTAGTTGTCGTGGTTTAGGTTCAGCCAGCAACTAAACATCACATGTCTGCTTGCCCACTGCTCCCTGCTGGTGGGATGGGGAGGAGAAAATACAACAAAAGGCTCAGGGGTTGAGACAAGGACAGGGAGGGATCACTCATCAATTATGGTCACAGGCAAAACAGACTTGACTTGGGGAAAAATTCCATCAGTTTAATTTGTTACCAATCAAATCAGAGTAGGATAATAAGAAATAAAAGCAAATCTTAAAAATATCTTCCTTCCATAGCTCCTTTCTTCCCAGGCTCAACTTTACTCCTGATTTCTCTACCTCTTCCCTCCCAGCGACTCAGGGGGACAGGGAATGGAAGTTGCAGTCACTTCATCACACATTGTCTCTGCCGCTCCTTCATCCTTGGGGCAGGGGTTTCCTCACGCTCTTCCCCTGCTCCAGTGTGGGGTCCATCCCATGGATAATAGTCCTCCATGAAATGCTCCAGCATGAGTTCTTTCCGCAGGGTGCAGCCCTTTCAGAAAACAGACTGCTCCAGCGTGGGCTTCCCACAGGGTCACAGCCTCCTTTGGGCATCCACCTGCTCCAGTGTGGGGTCATCCCCAAGCTGCAGGTGGATATCTGCTCCACCATTAACCTCCCCAAGCTGCAGGTGGGTATCTGCTCCACCATTAACCCCCCTGGGCTGCAGGTGGATATCTGCTCCACCATTAACCTCCCCGGGCTGCAGGTGGGTATCTGCTCCACCATTAACCTCCCTGGGCTGCAGGGGCACAGCCTGCCTCACCATGGTCTACCCCACGGGCTGCAGGGGAATCTCTGCTCCAGTGCCTGGAGCACCTCCTCCCCTCCTTCTTCACTGACCTTGGTATCTGTGGAGTTGTTTCTCTCACATCTCACTCCACTTCAGGTTTCCCCCTTCTTAAATACATCATCGCAGAAGCGCAGCCACAGTCACTAATTGGCTCAGCTTTGGCCAGAGGCGGGTCCGGCTTGGAGCCAGGGAAGCTTCTAGCAGCTTCTCACAGGAGCCACCTCTGTAGCCCCTGCCCTGTGACCAAAACCCCGCCACACAAACCCAGTACAGTGGTGGATGTAGTCTTTCTGGATTTTAGGAAGGCTTTTGATACTGTCCTTCATGGCATCCTTCTGGACAGGTTGTCCAACTGTGGGATGAGTGGGTTCATGGTGTGCTGGGTGAAGAACTGCCTGAAGGACAGAGCTCAAAGGGTTGTAGTGAATGGGGGCTACATCTGTCTGGCAACTGGTCACCTGGTCATCTTCCTCAGGGTTCAATTCTAGGTCCAATTCTGTTCAATATATTTATCAGCGATCTGGATGCAGGATTTGAATGCACCACTAGCAAGTTTGCTGATGATACCAAACTGGGAAGTGCTGTTGATACTCCTGAGGGACAAGAGGCCTTGCAGAGGGATCCAGATAGGTTGGAACATTGAGCTATGATTAATGGGATGAAATTTAACATGTTGAAATGCCAGATTCTGCACCTAGGATGGCGTAATGGTGGGCATAAGTGTAAAATGGGAGAAGAGTGGCTGGAGAGCAGCCCTGCAGCAGGGGATCTGGGGGTGCTGGTTGACAGCGGGCTCAGTAGGAGTCAGCAGTGTGCCCTGGCAGCCCAGAGGGCAAACCCCATCCCGGGGTGCTTCAAAGACGGCATAACCAGCCGGTCAGAAGAGGGGGGATTATCCCGCTGGATGCAGCGCTGGTGCAGCCTCACCTGGGGTACTGTGGGATGTTCTGGGCCCCACAGTTTAAGAAGGATGTGAAGGTCCTTGAATGAGTCCAGAGGTGGGCAACAAAGCTGGTGAAAGGGCTGGAAGGAACGTCCTATGAGGAGCGGTTAAGGACTTTTGGCTTGTCTAGTTTGGAGAAAAGGAGGCTGAGGGGCGACCTCACTGCTCTCTACAGCTTCCTGAGGAGGGGAGGTGGAGACGGAGGTGCTGAGCTCTTCTGCCTGGTATCCAGTGACAGAACGTGTGGGAATGGTTCAGAGCTGCACAAGGGGAGGTTTAGGCTGGACATTAGGGAGCATTTCTTTATCAAGACCTGGACTTGGTTAAAAACCCACTGGAACAGGCTTCCTAGAGAGGTGGTCGATGCCACAAGACTATCAGTGTTTAAGAGGCATTTGGACAATAGTCTTAACAGCATGCTTTAACTTGGTCAGTCCTGAATTGGTCAGGCAGTTGGACTAGATGATTGTTATAGTCTAGTCTATTCTATTCTGAGTGGGCAAATCTGATTCTGTAAAGCCCACTTTTACCTTTGGCCTTGGAAAAGGCAAACATAATTTTTGTTGAGAGTAGCATCTCCTGGAACCACTTCAATTGTGAAAATACTAATTTTTCATATGAAAACCAATAAATTTCTAGTCCTTTGATACCGAGAAAAAGTTTAGAAGGCAAACAAAACTAAGCAACATATACAATTTATAATTTCATTATTTTTAAGGAGATACCATGCTATTTGATTAATGCTATACTTTCAAGAACCTTAATTCTTAACCTATTTTATTTTCAGCCTTAGTTAGGAAATAATTGTTTCCAGTCGTATTTTATTACTTCTAGGACATTAGTGGACCCAATGTTTATGACAGCTGGCTTTCATAACATTAACATTTTACAGTTGGCACAATTTAAGATAGCAATAAATAATACATATTAGGTGCTTTATTATAAATTGTACCTTATAATCAAATACCTCTGATAGTAGATGCATTATTTGGAGAAACTTTATTGGGCATAACAGCACAGGTCAGGACTAGCCAATACAAGCTCCTTTAAATTGTGCACCTTCCAAACATAGGTGTGCCTCATCTTACTTCATAATAATATTACAACATAAAAGTACTGTGAAAGAAGCCTTAGCAACAGTTTCTACTTTTGCCATTTGGAAGTGGCAGCTGCAGGGCCTGGGACCAGCCCTCACTGCGGAGCCCGCGCCCTCCCACGGCAACCGCGGTGGTCCGAAGGGTTGATTCAGGGTTCCCTGGGGAAAGCAGTAACCAGAAGTGAGAACACTCCAGACCTTATTTGGGAAAGGAGTGGTGCTTACTGACTGGCTAGGTCAACAGGCAGGGTTGTTTTGTTTTTTTTTTTTAACACCACGGGCTTTTCAGTTTCTTAGAAGTGATGAAGAGAAATGTAGACGAATGAAGAATAACGTGAAAACCACAAAACAGTCCAGCTTATGTGTCTCAAGCATCAGAACACAGTTTGACACTCAGGTTCCTTAGTTTTGGTCACTGCTTTTGAATATTTTGAATACTTTATTATTATTGTTACTGATCCTTTTGGTAGAGTAACACTAAAAAGAAAAAGAAAAAAACCCAACCTCCCAGTCTTCCTAGTACTACAAATGCAGTTACAAAATGCACTGGGTTTTTTTGGTTGCTGATAGCATCTGGTCACCAGGAGCATAACATGGTAGCTAATACAAAAATCATATGTAACCACAGTGTGTTGTTCATGCACTGCTATGTCTTCCAGCTTGTAGAAATTACAACTGGTCTACTAACCAAATGCAGCATTTTATTAAAATCAGGTGATGGTCTTCCGCATTAACGTTTTCAGACCCCTACAAAACTGTCCAGCAGAGGTGTGAGTGCTGTACAGTTGAATATAGTTCTTACAAAAGGCTGCCTTTTCTTGGTTACTCTATGCAGGCTTTTTCTTCAGTGATGTTGGGGGCCTCCGTGTATTAAAACTGCTACAACTTCTGTACTGTCATGGGCATGTTGACCTCTGCTTTTTAAATCACTGGGATTGATGCAGTGTGACTTCCTTATATTGCTGCCAAACGTTCTGTGTCACACCTAACACATGATGTTTCTGTCTCCCTTTTGGGATGTTGCGTGCCTTAGTCCCTGCCTTTTTTCCAAGGTGTGGGCTCCTCCCCATAAGCCTAGAAAAGACTTAAAAGCAGGCAGCTGTGCCACCTGGGTGGCACATCCCTCCTTTCCTGCAAGGCTGGCTTTGCTCCTGTATCTGCTGATAGGTACAAATTCTGATTCCTGCTTCGTGCTGTGTGGTGCTGAGAAGTGGATCCACCCCTGGGCTGTCATATCCTGGCACTGGTGGTCTTCCCAACTATTCAGGTATTTGTATCTGAAGTAAGCTGAATGGTGATGGAACAAGCCTGTATAAGTAGAGAGCGTGAAAGATTCTCAGGAACTGGTAACGTTATCTTTAAACAGTTTAAGGACTTTGACTAAATGTGCTTCTTTATCATGCTTGAAATTTTTTTATCACCTTTGGAATCAGTTTGAGAAGAGACTTTTCTAATTTGACTGGCAAGTTAAAACACTGGCTTCAGAAATGTTAGAGTGTTTGTGTCTTTTTGTGGAAGAAGTGACTGTGTATATGGGACTAATGATAGTGAAGCTAAATTAATCTAACAGAGGAATTATGTGTTTTGCAGCACTGGTTCCACTATCGTTCAGCTATTTTTTAAGTTCATGTTGGTGATTTTTGAGACACCTTTTTTTGGCTTGCTCTTCTTATAGTTTCTTTGAAGTGATTCTTGACAAGTGTTGACAAACTTTCCAGTTTAAACATATATGAAAATCAAGAAATTGCCACAGCAACATTTGGGTAATCTTCTTATGTCTTGCATCTTATGTCTTACATAGTTTTAAAATAGGTATGAATTCCTGCCTATTCTGCTCTGATTGCATTTCTCAAACTTTTTGTGCAGGTAAAAAAGTCTGAATGTAGTCATATAGGTGTATTTTATGATCAATCAGCCCTTGCATAAACTAAGCTATATTCAAAGCAAGAAATAATACCCATAATGACTTACAGCATTTTGGAAATGGAATTTTGCTGCTTGTTATCCCCCTAATTACTATTTTTTCAGTCTTTTTAACACAAACATTTGAGTTTATTCTCATGGTTGTAGAAAATACTTTTTTTTAATTTTGTATCACTACTACTTGTAATTAATATATCTTTACCAAGTATTTCTGTTGCACATGATATTCCCAGGTTCTTCTTACAGAAGACAGCCTGATATGTTATCAGTAGTAAGATATCACCTCAGTGTTTAAGTGCACAAATCTAATCAGCAAGAATGAAGAACAAGAAAATCAGGAAAGAAGAATAAAAATGGTTGAGAATTACTTTTTTCTTCAGAGAGTAAAGACAGTATCTGAAGCTAGAGACAATGCAGATAGCATCTTTGATGCTACTTATACTTCTCAACAAGGAAGGAATAGTCATAATCTTGCTTCAGCTGTTACTTCTGTCAGTCAGGAAACAAAAATACTAAAGCTGCTGTGATAAAGCTGAATGTGGCTCTGGCTGCTCCACCATCTCAAAAAGAATATAACAAAATTCGAAAAAGTCCAGAGTTGTGCAACAATGATAATCATGAGTATGAAAGCACTGCCATAGGGGTACCTAAGCAAGCCGGGCCTTTTCATTCAGGAAAAATTGCTCACTGAGGGCAGAGGCAATATGATAGAAGATCTCGTAAATGCTCAGTGGCAAATGCAGAGAGATGCACCATTCACTTTTATTTATCGTACTACCCTGTGGCCATCAAATGAAGTTGTAGGAGCTGTATTAAAAACAAGAAAGATCATTCTTTATGAAACAGATAGTAGAGCTGTGCAACTCATTGCAAGAGGATGTCGTAGATGTTAGTTGTTCATGGGAATTTAAGGAGAGGCTGGATAAATTCATGAAAGAGAAATTTATATGTGTTTCCTATATATAAAGAAACTGCATCCAGCTGTTCCCTAGATATCTATTTTACCACTGTAGTAGAAAGACTATTGAACTAGGTGGTCCTTATGTTTTCTAGGTCTTTAGGTGGACCTTACGTTTTTGTGTATGTTCTAAAAGCCTGTTTTTAAATGGTCATCCTGAAATCCCATATAAGTTTATTTTGCTGCTTGTTATGTTCGTGATCAGTGACTAAAATAGGAGAAAATATTAATCAAGGGTGTTGCCCAATGCTATTCCATCACCATTTATAAAAGCAGAACTCTTTTCCACTGTTGCATGATTATCTCACATCTAACAGGTTGTTGTTATAGTGCAAGCAGTTCTGATGACAGAAAATATTGCAGCCGGTTGTTTCAAATTAGACTTAATTCACTCTAATTTTCCTATGCCTGAAGAGTCTTGTTCTAGAATGATGTGTTGTTTTCTTGATTTTTTTTTTTTTTTTTAGGAATGGAGAAGCTGGTTGCTTGTCCATATAAAAGGCCAAATGCTCTCTGTAGGCTGATTTGCTTTCCATGGGCTGGTGGTGGAACTTCTCAGCTTGCTCAATGGGGAAAACTCTTTAGCAGCTCGATTGAAGGTTAGTCATTTGTGTAGTTAAAACAGAAGTTAATCAAGTCTGAAATACACGGTAGCCAGATTTTTTTAATGGAATATAATGTTCTGGAGAGCACTGTGATCTTTTTCCAATGGGTCTTATCCAGAAAGGAATTCCATTAAGAATTAGCATTTCCATTAGGATGCTGAGTTTACCAAGTTTCTGTACCACCTTGGATCAAATTATATTTGACTAGGTTAAAAAGTTATATCCTCAGAGCTAAATTTCACAAGACTTACAGTATGCTTGACTGCTTCAGAAACTACTGGTATGATTCAGAAACAGCAATACACTGGCATATTGTTCATATGTTAAACAAAGCCATCAGTAAGGTTAGCAGTGAAGATACAAGAACTATTTTTAATGCTGAGAAAGTGCAATTTCTGATATCTATAGTGTTTGCGTGGTTTTGCAGTCCTTGTATCAAAACTGAAGTTTAAACTATGGATTTATAACATTTAGTTACAGTGTGAAGTAATTCTCATTGTTATCAGGGTATATTGGCACAGCACTAAAAAGATCCATTGCTGAACTATTTGAAGAGGAATGAAGGCCATTTTCCAGACCTTCCACAAAGAAAAAAAAAATATTTTGGCATTTATAGAGAGCATTGCCACTGTAATTGTACCAGTCCTCTAAATGCTTGTATGTTTTCTGTAAACAGTTGCACAAGTCACATCAAATTTTCCTTGAAATTAAAAAAAAAAAAGAAAAAAAGAAAAAATAAATTTTGTCCACTCAAACTACTTCCAACAAAGTTACTAAGGAGATGGCTTAGGAGCAACTGCAGACACATGAATGAAATCAGGGTGCAGCATGCTCCTTCAGAGATGGTTTGTGAAGAAAGGAAGTATAAAAGATGCAAACATTCCTGTACTGCTATCTATGGTATTAAGTAGTAGTTTATTCTATATCCCCTAAAATACTTTGCATCTGACTCATTATTTCCATATGAGTTTGGCAATATGTGTGATGTCAAAGAGATTTTAGAAAATCAACATTTTTTTCTGATCTGTTCATTCCTTACTTTCTCTAAATAGTGGGAGGAAAATCCTCAGTTTTTAAAGAAATATGATAAAAGCGTGTGATATGTCCTTCCACGTAAATTGCCATCTATTTATACTATAATTCCACATTTTACTACATGCAGTGCTGAAGAGCCTGCAAAGAAAAAAGGGACTGTATGATTCTAATATAGTTTAACTTTCTAATGCTGCCTTTGATATATTTTACACAAACCTCAAAATTGCTATTATTGAAATTAATGAATTTGTGGTAGTTATTAATACTAATAGTAATAAAGTTGCTTTGAAACCTCAGCTGAGATCAGGACCTTGTAGATTTCTGGCCCAAGGCATTTATCAATCAGCTAATTGGAGAGGCAACATTTGTGAGTAAAGGAAGGGAGGGAAGCCTAATCTCGCACAGGATTAAAAGACAGTAGTAGCAATAGCAAACATACTGTACCAACTGTAAGAAGGTTTAATTTAAATAATCTATATATTCTGCAGAATAGATTAAAAAAAAAAATTTACTGTTTCTATTTGAAATAACTATAATTCTTTTCCTTCCCTTCCTCCACCTCTTCTGCAGTGTCCTCTTTAAGGCTTCCTGGAAGAGAATGTCGTTTTAAGGAGCCTTTTGCAAAAGACATGGCAACCGTAGTTAATGAAATTACAAGTGTTTTGTTAAAAGAATTGCAAGAAAAACCATTTGCATTTTTTGGCCACAGGTAAAAATATATACATTTTTAGATACCCTGATGAAGGAACTTTATCTTTGAACTCTGGAAGTAGTTACTTGCCTTTATTTGTAGAAACATTAGGAAAATACACTTCTACAAGGTCTTTTGTCAAGTCATTTGAAAACGTGGTTGATCTCAAAGACTCTGGTTATTTATTTATTACTTCAGGCACAATATCTTATAAAAATGGCAGTGTTGTCTTTTTTTTTTTTTTTTTTCACTGATAAATTATAGTTTTGTTTACTGTTAATGTTTGTGTCAGTGTTTGATCTATATGAGTGCAGGGTGAACCATTCATAGAACACCTAGATTTTGAAGATCACTTAGGCCCAAGTATTCACAATAACTGTCCTTACTGCAGATTAAGGAGACTACTAAAAGAAAGATTTTTTAAAAGTCTGATTTGTAAAACTAGACTGTGTAGTAATACGCTTCACGTCAATTTGCCAATATCACTGTAATTTACATGTCATATATGGTTTTAGTAAGTGTTCAAGATTGCCAATTAGCACTGAAATTCAAATAAGGTTTAAATTTTCCACTTTTTACATGTTTTTGCTTACTTTGCTTTAATTTCCCTTTTCACTGCAGTTTTGGATCTTATATTAGTTTTGCAGTTGCGCTACACTTGAAAGAAAAGTATGGACTAGAGCCGATCCATCTTTTTGTATCAGGGGCACATGCCCCAAATGTAAGTTACAGAATCATTAATGGTATGAAACAAAACAGTGTATTAGCTACCAAGAGTTAAACTGACATTTTACAGTATGGTATGCAGAGTGGCTTTAATATAAACCAAGCATTGCTTCTAAATATATGCAGAGAAATGTTCTGTTTTCTTAGAGGAAATGAATTCTGAGGCAGACAGAGAATTTCACGTTACAGAACATTCACTGCTGCTAACCTTAGCCATGGGAGAATAGTGTCCTTAAGCTAATGCTACCTTACTTGAACACTGTATTATTTACTATGGCCTTTGGCTTAATGCTGGAAAGTAATCAAAACAAAATATAAAATGCCACTCCCTACTCTGTAACGTGAAATAACTGTCTTAACCTAGTCTTTCATAAACCTCCTGCACCAGCCCTCAGTATATTTGTCCATTTATTTCCGTCCTTGTTCTTTGTTGGCTTTTCAATCTGTCCTCAGTTTCCTCTGAGGTTCTGGTGGTTCTGCTAGTCTTTCTCAGGAAAACAACAGTGAAGTGGCTTTCTCCCAGTCCTCAGTCAGCTTTTGCTATTTTCATTCTTCTGTTTTCAGGGCTTCTTAGCAATCCTGAGTATAAGCTAGTACTTCATGGAAGCAATTATTATTCCTGCAAATTTCCATAATTGGTTGGTCTCTCCAGTCCTACATCAACTGGATTTGTGTCCACTGTTAGGCTTTTCTTTCTCTAAAACAGATTATTTTATTAGCTGTGTTTCAATAGTGAGAGTCAAACTTTGAACAAAATTAAATTAATGGTTATTTGTCTGTGGAAGTTTCGGACATTGAGTGTAGCTGGCTCACTCATAATCTCTAGTTTAAGCAAGCACAGTCTACTAACCCTTTCCAAGAAGTATTCCCCATGGATGTTAAACTGATCAGCCATTGTATTCTAGAGACAGATAATCATTGTCCTTTTTTTCTAAAACAATTATTTATGAAAATATTAGAATAGAGTCATAGACTCACAGAATAGTTTGGGTTGGAAGGGACCTTAAAGATCATCTAGTTCCAACCCCCCTGCCATGGGCAGGGACACCTTCCACTAGACCAGGTTGCTCAAAGCCCCGACCAACCTGGCTTTGAACACTGCCAGGGAGGGGGCAGCCACAGCTTCTCTGGGCAACCAGTGCCAGTGCCTCACCACCCGCAGAGGAAAGAATTTCTTCCTTCTGTCTAATCTAAATCTACCCTCTTTCAGTTTAAAACTGTTACCCCTCATCCTATCCCTACACTCCCTGATAAAAGAGTCCCGCCCCATCTTTCCTGTAGCCCCCCTTTAAGTACTGGCAGGCTGCTATAATGTCTTCCTGGAGCCTCTTCTCCAGGCTGAACAACCCCTACTCTCAGCCTGACCTCATGGGGGGGTGCTCCAGCCCCCTGAGCATCTTCATGGCCTCCTCTGGACCTGCTTGAGGCGGTCCATGTCCTTCCTATACTGGGGACCCCAGAGCTGGATGCAGCACTCCAGGTGGGGTCTCACAAGAACGGAGCAGAGGGGGAGAATATCCCCTCCCTCGACTTGCTGGCCACACTTCTCGATGCAGCCTAGGATGCAGTTGGATTTCTGGGCTGCAAGCACGCATTGCTGGCTCATGTCCAGCTTTTCATCTCCTAAAACCTCCCAAGTCCTCCTCTGCAGGGCTGCTCCCAATCCACTCATCACCCAGCCTGTATTTGTGCTTGGGATTGCCCTGACCCATGCGCAGGACATTGCACTTGACCTTGTTGAACTTCGTATTATTTAAAGTATATTATATACAACACATGATCTGTTTTGTCTGGTGCTGACAGTCTGAAGCATTTCTTCCCATCAAAAGCATACCCATATGTGATATAGAAGATGAAGACATTCTTACATATGTAAAAATTTTAGGAGGAACTCCTTCTGAGCTTCTGCAATTTGAAGAAATTAATAAACATATGATACTTACTTTCAGAGAAGACATTAGAGTTCTTCAGACATTTTCGTAAGTTTTATAATTTTGTATTAAATCTTTATTTGTATGTTACAGTTTTACTTGTCTGATCATCTCATGTTTTTTTTTTTTTTACTTCTTTGTAATTTGTTCTCATTTCTGTTATAAAAAGAATACGAAAAAGTTTCCTTCGTATGCTTTTCCATTTATAGTTTAACATTAGGGCCCTAGATGAAAGCACTGCTTACTGTAGCAACCACTACTGTTATTGCAGTAGTGAACATATCATAGCAGAATTACAGTTCTACTCAGTATCCAAAGTTAGTAGCTGTGAAAAGGAATATTCTTGCATCCGTTATTGTTTTCTGAGGCTAATAAGTTCAATCGATTATGCTTCAGGATCACTGCATTCAGCCTCCTGATCCAAGGCCCCCTAGCCTAACCAGGAGCCAAGAATCCCTGTGTTCTAGGCACCTAGAGAGCAACCAGCTGCTTCTGTCCTAACTGCTGTCCCCTCCAGATGTTACACAACAGCTCACGTAGATGAGTGGTTAAGGTGTCTTACCCTGGCAAAGACAAGAACATTCTTGGATGTGGGACCCATTTTGGCCATAGGAACCTGATGCTGATAAAGCCCTGAAACATTAGAACTTGAATATAAGCAGACAACATAATCGATTATTGTACATGAGAATTTTTATTGCAGGCTGAAGCTCTTTTTTTCCCTGGGTCATTCTTTCTTTAAAATTTTAGACCTAATTGCAGTAGGGTAAGGAGCTAAGAATCTTCCAGAAACAGTAATTCCTTCTCGTGATGTTCTGCACAACCTAATTCCTGAAGTTTGTTATGTTTTGGAGGAGAAAGAAACAGCTATTTTGTATGTGGAAGCAAACCCCAGATACAGGCATCTTATGAAAAGTTTTCTTACTACTTTTTGTGTTCGCAGTTTTGAGAAGGCAGAAGGGAATATCCCCTTCTCTTGTGATATTACCTGCTTTAATGGGTCTGAAGATAAACCACATGATATAGAAGGTACTTGGCTTAAATGTTTTTCCTCTTACGCATTTCCTGTTGTATCGGATCAGTTAAATTACTCTAGAAAACTCTTCATTATCTCCTTCTTAAATGAAACAAATCAACAAAGCACTCTCAATATATGAGCCGAACAGCTGATACGGGATTTAAAATAATTATTAAATAATAACTTTGAAATAGTTATGTAAAATGACCACAGCAGTTGACATTTCTCTGACACTTTAAATATCTTTTTCAGCCTGGCACGACCTAACAAGTGGAGATACTTCCTTTTACAACCTTCCTGGAGGTCACTTTTATCTTCTGGAACCCTCTAACGAAATTTTCTTGACAAAACACATAACAAGATGTATAGAAAATGCTGGTCTATGAGTATTTCCCTCTACTTTAATGGCAGAAGGTGAAAGATTAGTCCACAGCACTTCATAATAAGTCATTATTTCTACACATTTGCATGCAGTTATACCTGAGACTTGTTCTGTTCATCCAGATCTTTATTGTAGTCCTTTAAAAGGGGGAGTTTTTCTGAGTTTTTGAAAATAAACATTGGCATTGGGTCTTAAAAATAAAAAAGTTTTAGTCTTTTCCCTGTTCTCTTCTTGAATGTGCACAAATCCTTCATTCCATAACCTTGTTTGCAAAAAATGACAGCTATGTTGTTTTACTTTTAGAGCTTCTCTGTTTGTGTGCTTCTGTAAAAATGCTAAATAGAATTTAATACCCACAGAAATCCATGATTCTTACAGAAAGCATAATTTATTAGGTTCGAATTTGAGTAAGATACAATCTAAAAATAGAGTATTTATGTAAATACCCTTTACAGACAAACAGCTTATGCTTAATAGATTTTACTGTCAGACGACACAGTAAGGAATTAGTATTGCATTTTTCACAACAGAGTTAGTTCATTAGCTACTGAAGAGTTAGTTATTATTATGAGTATTCTATATCCCATATTTTTCTATCATTGCTTTTGCTTTAGAGATATAGGCATTCATGGCATCCTCCTTTGATAAACCTGTAAAGGAAAGTAGGAGTCATTATCTTTCCTCATTTGTTATCCTATAAACACGACTACATGATGTAAATGTAATTGGTGTAACACCTTTTTTCAGGTTCCAAGCCTCCCATTTGGCTTTGCCTTTCAAATCTAGCATTCCTGGACATTCTGCCAAAATAAATGCATACCTTTGATTATCATGCAGATTTATATAACATTTGCTTGATTTCATCAAGATATAGGAGTAAATGTGAAGTATATATAGAAATACCAATATTAATATCTCCAACAGTAGCCTGTTTGTAGAATCCATATAGTTCCTTCAGTTCTTCATCAGTTGGTCTTGTTTTTAATTTTTTTACATCTTCTGCAGCACCATTAAAGTCAGCCTGATGAAAGAAATCAAAGTGTTAGTTTTCCTCTCAAGAGGTTTGCTTAGTATAGCATGCACGGTAATATACTCACTTGGGTTTAGTGGCAAGTCTAGGCATTTTTCCATGAAAGAAGCTTAATAAAACCGTAAGTTATTAGAAAGAGAACTAGGCCTACTTAGCTGATAAGGGTCAGCACTGCTAAAGTAAGTAAACCTCTTTTTTCCAACAGTTTTACTTGGAACCATTACAGACTGTCCAGTGTCAGGATATTTACAGATACATACGTGCAAGCAGCTACAGTGAATGTCGTGTATGTGTCTTTCACAGTCACACTGGGGTATGAAGGTGTTCATTTAACTTTATACCCCAGCAGAAATCTCTGAATCCTTTTGTCCCTGACTGCAGAGTGTTGCCTCAAGTGGCAGAGCTCAGCTACCCTCTGAGGGACACTGCCCACTTCCCTCTTCATTTCTACTTCTCTGCTGACAGTGCAGTAGGTGACCAGCAGTTGGCACAGCCGTACCTCACAGAGATGAGCAGTGCTCCTGCCAGGACAGCCTTCACCACCCAACTCTCAGACACAGTGAAGCACGAGAGTGAAATATAAATTTACTCCTTTCATCATCATGCATCCCACATTCACATCAACCCAAGGCTACAGCCATTATTCTCCCTATATACTAGGTCTCAGGCTGGACTTTAGCACAGAGTTGGGGGGTCCTGCTTCATGCCCAGGCCATTTCAGAGCTAGATTTCGTACAGTCACCACAGACCCGCCAGGTCACTGCACTACTATAATGCAAAAAAGATACAGGCACTTTAACACACTATGTGCTGGTTTCAATAATTATTTTAGCTTTTGAGTTGGATCTGCATTTTCAGAAGCACAGTATATCATGCATTATATGCTATTAAACATATATTTAATATGTACAAAACCAAACTACAACTGCTGTGGCTCTGTTTAAATAACTGAGACCCTAACATTATCTCAACAGTCTATACTGTGCTTCTTTAGACCACTTTTTTCCTTTCTCTAGTTACAAGAAATATTTTTTTTTTTTAAATAAGAAAACCTAATGCACATTTCTCTCCTTAATTGATGCCTTGACTAGCAACTGTGCTCTGGGGACCAGGTGATAGAAATAAGCAAGCACACATGAGACCTGGGTACACTATAGCATTCTGTATTCAGAGAGAAAGTACAAGAGAGGTTATTTCTGTATTTAAATTTAAGAAGGAAAAACAAAAAACAAATTAGAGACTGGTGCTCAAGTATCTTTCTCCAAAGAAAGGCCCCTTCACAGAATCATGAACCACCACATTCATAGATGTGAGGACAGATGAGCTGGCAGCTGCCTTGGGGCGGCAGTGGCAGGTGAGAGAGGGCGAGGACAGGGAGCTGAGCGCACCGCAGCGATCCTGCACAGAAACCCGGCCATGCTCGCACAGATCAGTCACCTCTGCCTCCTGAGATGGAGTTCACTTTTTTTTTTTTGCCTTGGAAATGTATTTTGGCTAGTGAGTAAAGTTCCTAGATACAAACTTCTAAGGAATTTTCTAATGTTTTGGAAAATTGCTATTTGAAACCCACAAAGAGAAAGCACGAGTCTAAGAACAAAAATGCTCGACACGGGAGGATGTACATCTGTAACACCAGAGTTGAAACAAGGAGCAGCAGGCAGACAGGTATATTTAAAAAGGATGCTTTAAGAAAAATCATGACATATGATTAAAAGGGTGTTCTAGCAAAGAAGTGCTCCCTGCAAAGCAGCAATTGAAAATAAAACTTGAATCCTCTTTAAACTGCAGTTATAAATTCACAGAACATTAGATGAGAAGGCTTCATGATGATAATCCACATCTCTAGTTCTGTCAGTTTATTGCACCCTTAAAAACGCAACGGAAGAAAAGATCTTTAGACAAAAATCCTGCAGCAGTGCAGGTGCTTATTAACAAATAATCTTCCAACTCAGCAAGAACCACAGTGTTTGCGTAACTGACACACAGAAGTTTCCAGGAGATTCCCACCAAGGACTCCCAGAACCAAATGCCCAGTAGTGGATGCAGAAGTACAGAAAATGGCTAGGGTGTTAAAATGGTCTTTATCAGTTTTACATTTGAGAAACCCTGCTGTTATGTGGAGATATTTTTAATATAATGATCCTTCATTCTTTACGCAGTACAATACTAAGAATCGGACAGATTCCAAGTATCGGTTGTCCGCTTATGGTAATTCAATAAAGTATACTATTTGGAAAAGTTACCACATTAAATTCTAAATCAAATTACTTCCAAATTATATTCTTAAATCTAAAACTTTATAGACTGAAAATATGTAACTATGGTTATGCAGTTTGTTCCTGTTTTGATAAAAATAATCCTCAATAATAATAAAATGAAACTATACCATAGAATCATAGAAAAACATGAGGCTTTAAGTCCAACTCCTTTGTCTGATTTCTTTTAAGAACTAAACATTGTGGATTTTTAAAATTTTTTTTTTCACCAACCAAATATTTGGGAGCATTGCACGACAAATACAGGATTTTTCTAGAACCAAACCCCAAAATGCCCAGAATATGTTATACATAATTTAGATAAACCAAAATCATGTGCTCCAGATTATATATAAAAGCTGAATCAATGTTGATATGACCTTACAGCATCTCTTCTCAGCATTTTTTTTGTTGCCATATACTCTATTGCTCACTTAAAAAAAAAGAAATAACTGGCATTCTAGGAGGAATTAAACTGATCATGAAAGCTATCTTAATTGAAGTAACTATTTAGTCAGTTTGGGTCAGGATTAAAAATGGATTATATGCACAACAAAAGCTCTTTTGCTTCTTTTTTCTGGATAAACACAATGTAAATATTTTCTTCTACGAAGTTTAACATCAGAAATATGAATATTCATTTTTCCCAAAATACTCATTTTTCCTGAAAGGCCAGAAAAATAGAGTGCAAGGTTTCTCACCTCAGTTGAAAGTAAATTTTTAAACGTTTCATAAAGTGTCTCCTGTCCCAATTCATCAAAGAGTTTAAGTAACACTTGAGGAGCTTGTTTGGCTCTGTTTTAAATACAAACTAAAATCTTCACTCTGAGTTTCAAATAAATAGAGTTTAAAAAAAAAAAAACTGGTCTACATGGTAAGTCCTCAACCCTTCAGGCAGAAGTTACAGTACTAAACAATTACTACACAGATTACATACATGCTATATGAGAAAAACCTGTTCTTTACATAAAGTAAAATTCAGCTTTTCTGCATCTGCAAGCTATCAGAGTCAATACCACTTTTCTCCTGTTTGCAGAATTGAGTGCTCTTGTCTAGGTCTCCCAAATACTTTCACAGACTCACAAGACAGTTTGGGTTGGAAGGGACCTTAAAGATCATGTAGTTCCAACCCCCCTGCCACGGGCAGGGACACCTTCTATCCACTAGACCGGGTTGCTCAAAGCCCCGTCCAGCCTGGCCTTGAACCCTGCCAGGGAGGGGGCAGCCACAGCTCCCCCCGGGCAACCAGTGCCAGTGCCTCACCACCCTCACAGGAAGGAATTTCTTCCTTCTATCTAAACTAAATCTACCCTCTTTCAGTTTAAAACTGTTACCCCTCATCCTATCCCTACACTCCCTGATAAAAGAGTCCCGCCCCACCTTTCCTGTAGCCCCCCTTTAAGTACTGGCAAGCTGCTATAATGTCTTCCTGGAGCCTCCTCTGCTCCAGGCTGAACAAGCCTGACCTCGTAAGGGAGGGGCTCCAGCCCCCTGAGCATCTTCATGGCCTCCTCTGGACCTGCTTGAGGCGGTCCATGTCCTTCCTATAGTGGGGGCCTCAGAGCTGGATGCAGCACTCCAGGTGGGGTCTCACAAGAACGGAGCAGAGGGGGAGAATCCCCTCCCTCGACTTGCTGGCCACACTTCTGGTGCAGCCCAGGATACAGCTGGCCTTCTGGGCTGCGAGTGCACACAGCTGGCTCATAGTTTTTCATCCACTGTACTTGCTGCTCTCAACCCACTCATCACCCAGCCTGTATTTGTGCTTGGGATTGCCCTGACCCACGTGCAGGCCCTTGCATTTGGCCTTGCTGAACTTCATGAGGTTTGTACAGGCCCACCTCTCCAGCCTGCCTGTCAATGTCCCTTTGTATGGCATCGCTTCCCTCCAGTGTGTTGACCACACCACACAGCTTGGTGTCATGAAACTTGCTAAGGGTACACTCAATCCCACTGTCTGT